TTAGAGACTCAATAGTTTGTGTAAATCTAGTACACATACCATCCACCAGCTCTGTTGGCTGTTGATCTGGGGGCTTGCTGCCTGCTGTCACTTATTTCCCTCAGCAGGACTGCAGTGACATAAAAAAAAAAAAGATTGGCAGGGAAGCACGGCGGGTGCCTCAGATTAGTTCGGTCTGCCTGGGTGCATTGTTGTGTTTTGCAAGCTATGCCAGGCATGTTTGTCTACTAATTAATCTCTTGATTAAATTCTGCACAGATGAATAGTGGTGTTTTGTTCCCACACTAAAGGGAACCTAGTCTTTTGTCTTTCTGTAAAAACATGAAATCAAATTTGGCAAATACACATGAACAAACACCGTAATGAAGCCTTTGATTGCTTGTATTTTGATAATACCATGGTAATGACATGTCATCGCTTTTTAATTATTTCAGACGCAAATCTAGACTTGCTAATTGTTAAATCTGCTTCATGATTCAGAGTTATGTGTAGTAGGGGTTTAACTTTAGCAGTTAACTGATGAAACAAACTCTACCAGTTGGGAGGAATGTGCAAGCATCTTTGCCATCCCTTTTGCTTGATTTTCAAGAAGAAATATGAGGTATTTCAGCTGATATAGACTAGATAGTAGAGTCTACAGACACAGCCATGTGCTGCTTCTGGTTGATGTCATACTATCACTGCATTTCATTGATTCGAAGCACATCTGTATCCAAGGTTAATTCAGATATCTTGCAACATTTCATATTGCTTGCAAGCTAAACCGTCACCATGAGGCTGTGGAGATTTAACTCTACGCCTGTAGTGCAACACATCTTGTTTGTTGCCATTGCTTCAGTAAATGCTCACTCTATCCATGGTTTAAATTTATCATTGGGAAGAGTGTTCTATTCCCTCTATTTATTTTCCAACCTCGTGTTTTCCGGCTGGGAGGGGGGGTTAGGGTGTGAGAGGGTAGGGTATTGTGGATGTGCAGACATGGTTATTTGATGATGTCTGTATTTTAAATATTTGCTTCTTTTACAACATATCCAGGCACCACACATGCATGCTTATGCTTTCGTTGGACAATGATGGGCTGGTACCAATCTTTAGCAGTGAACTTTAGAGATTGCAATTTCATCATAGGTTCTTTAGTGTTAACTACAATTATATTCTAGTGATTTAATTTCTCTTGGACACCCTGACTGACGAGCACCAACACTTTGGAAACTATGGTATGAAAACTTTGCATTTTCACTGCATTTATTAAGCCACAGTGAGGCAGAAGGGAAAACAGCTTGCGATCTAAAAATTGTAGGTTTGATTCCATCTTCTTCCACATCAGAGGACGTAAGGCACCTAACCCTGAGTTACCTTCTGAACTGTGTATCGGTGTTTGAATTTCTTTTTTCCTTTTTCTAAGAGATGCCTTTATTGTTTTATTGTTGCTTCTTAGAAAAACTGTTTTTAAGATTTATGAAGTATGCCAAAGTAGACCTCTTTGAACTGTCAACAGATTAAGAGAATACCAAAGTCAGTGAATCAGTGTCCTCGTTTAGCGTGCATATGACAGGTCATAAACTCAACACTTACAAAGAAGAGATTTTTTCAATTTCCTGAAAGAATGTGCCCTTTATGTGGCTTGTATTGGAAAACCTCGAGCAAAAATTACATATGCATCTGTTAGCTATTTTTAGTATTTGAATCCACGAGTTAAAGTGAAAAAACAAATAAAAAAACAAGATCTGATTTGTTTTCTGGGGGAAAACAAATGTTTTGCTTCTCCATCTGGATCTGCACATTTAGATTTTTTTTTTTTATTATCAAACTAAAGAAATCAAACCCTCCTCAAAATCTCACAGAGAGTAAATAAACAACTTATGTGATATTTTGTCTTCGTTGTGGTTTTCCCACAAGGTCCGTCCATCTCGGCTCCCCACCCCAGCCGTCTGTCTCATCCCTTTACTTGTGTTCTCTGACTCACTGTAGGCGACATCTATGCTGTTTTAAATGTGCATGCCAGTACTGGTGTCTAAGTGGGTTTTAGTGTACACTGTGTGGCCAAAGCGTCACAAAGAAGCCAAGGTCAAAGCCTTCTTGGCTTCCAGTTAGCCGGTGGGCTTGGCTGACATATAAAGTCAGCATCCACCAACTGATGTCCTGCAACCTCAAGGGTCTGGCCTATGTGAACGTCAGCTGAAATGAGTCATTTCCTGCTGGATACAAAGAAGATGCAGACTCTGTTGTAGGCGCTTGAGTGTAAGAGTGGGGATTGGGATGTTTCTGTCGAAGGATGAAAGGAAGTGGGAGCGAGAGTTTTTATGTAAAAGAAAGATTATAACGGAGAGAAGATAAGACCAGAAGAAGGAAAAATATAGTTTGAGTGTTCAAGTAATTTTTGAAACAGGGGTTTCGTTATGTGAAGGAACCTAAAGATAAAAGGGAAGGAAACAAGAACAAGATGACTTGCATGATTTTTAAAACGTAAGTAAAAAGAAGTACGAGGTCAGAGAAGTGCATAAATAGAGAGATACTGTAAGTGCAATCTGAGAGATGAAAGTTTAAGAGAGGGTGTTGAGTAGAAAATTAGAGGGAAGGGAAAACCTGCATGGAGCAGGCTGGAAAAAGAGAGGCAGAGCTGTAAACACATGAGGTCGGAGAGCCAGCGAGGAAGAAAGCACCGAGCTACTGCTGCTGTTTGATGGAAAGCTGCACAATGCAGCAGATGGATGTTCCCTGTGATGGAGAGGAAACTTCAACCGGAGCAAAGGAAACATAGAAATCTGTCGTACCCCTCACCATGAGGGCTTCCAGTAAGTTTTGATTGTACATTTAAGTTACATATGATATCTTCGTTCTCTTTACTTCCAGAAGGCTTGGATAAGTGTTTGTATATTTTCTCCAACCTTTAGCCCATATGTGATTTAGAGAGAAGAGTTATTCAAAGAATGTTGGAAGAGGGATGTAATTGCTGGATTGTGGTGACAGTGTCGTTTCCTCTGACCGTTCTCATCTCTGATGGTGAAGTACGGAGGCTTTTTATTGCCCCACTGAAGTTTGCCAACACCTCTTAACTAGTAAGGAAACTGAGAATGTATGAGTGAGAACTTGTCTGAGCAACACATTATTTATAGTCACAAATTTCACATTTAAATACTTTATTCCGGTTCATATTTGTCCTAAAACAGCCTGTCCATTGTTTTCTGTGAAATGTATTAGTTGTAGTATTTATACTCCATGCATTAAGCTGCTTCTTAAATGTTCTTTCATGTTTATTTCTCCATCTAGGCTTGCTGTGGAGATGTATTTAATTCTTGGCAGCAGTTTCTTTAGGATTTCTTTTGTCAGCACAAGGAGCCGCTTTAATAAGTGGCTCCCTATAAAGAAAACATATATAAACACACCCAGATTTCCCTACTGCCAGTTAAGCAGCGTGTGTGATACATATGCCAGTGGAAAAAAAACAACAACCTATAAAACAAAAGCCTGTTAAAATGCTTCATGCTTGCTCGGCAGCCAAGGCCTGATATGTTTTGGTACGATGCGGTACGCCTCTTACATTTATCCAAAAACAGCAAAGCATTTTCAGAGGTTTTTGTGAAGATGTTTTAAACCTTGTGATCAGGAGACTTCAGAGAATATCTTTACTGGCGGATTTTCAACCTTCTCAGTATCATCATTTTGTTTATTTCCCAGAGGGAAAAGACATCTCAGAAATTATTTTTCCTTAATTAAAAACGATCTCAGAAAGTAATATCAAGCATAAGAAAAGTGCCATGCTTAGACTTGACCTATCTTGAAAAAAGTAAAAGTACTCACATGTTTTAACCTTCTTACATTTGCCCTGTCATCCATCCATCCATCCATCCATCCATCCATCCATCCATCCATCCATCCATCCATCCATCCATCCATCCATCCATCCATCCATCCATCTGGTGTGTCTATCTCCAGTAGTCTATGGGCGAGAGGCGGGGTACACCCTGCACAGGTTGCCAGTCTTTCTCAGGGCAACACAGAGACAAACAAAGACATACAACCATGCACACACAAACTCACCCCTAAGGACAATTTAGAGAAGCCAACAGTCATGTTTTTTTTGACTGTGGGAGCAAGCCGGAGTACCCGGAGAGAACCCATTCATGCACAGAGAAAACATGCAAACTCCATGCAGCAAGAGTCCGGGCGGGGAATCGAACCAGAAAGCCACATCTGTGTTGCCCTGCGACGGACTGACGAACATGTCCAGGGTGTACCCTGCCTCTCGTCTGTAGACAGCACCCCTCCCTACCCTGCTTGGGATAAGCATGTCAGAAAATGGATGGATGGTTATTTTCTAACAAATGCAAAACAAAAAAACTTTTTGGAATTAAATTAAAAAATATATATTTCTCTTCACGCTGATACCTGAAATACTTTTAAAAGTCACATAATTAAAAAACAGTATTAATCTGTTAATACTTTTGTTTCGGTCTACCAAAAGACTGATAAGGTCAGATGATACCAAAAAATGCATGTTTGACCTATTAGACAGTAGATCAGTCTGAACAGATGAGCCACATTGTTAAGCACGGTGGTGTTAGCACCATGATTTTCTTCAGCAGTAATCCAGAAACCGGTAAGCTTTGATAGAAAGACTGATGGAGCTTACCACTGACAGTCTTGGAAATTAAGCTTTTAGAGCCTAGAAAAGGCTTAAGCCAATGTTTTATCTTGTTCATAGACTCTTCATCATAGCAGTTTCAGCCCCAGGGGTGCTTAATAGTAATAGAATACAAACTTTTCATGTCACCCTTTAGAAAATCAAAAAAGAAAAGAAATCCTAAATAATCTATTTACTTTTATTTAGATATGTTCTTATATTGGTTTATGACATAACCTCTCCATAACATTCATGTAGGAAAGTGGCATTAGTTTTTAAGGAGTGGTAATTTTTCAAACACTTTAAGAGCAATAACAAAAAATGTATCTCTGTGCCTTAATGAGTTTCACAAATATCCGCTGTTTCTGTCTTACAGAGATTGAGGCAAAGGAGGCTTGTGATTGGCTTCGAGCAGCGGGGTTTCCACAGTATGCCCAGCTCTATCAAGGTAACACACCACCGAGTCACCAAAGTCCAACTGCCTTATTTCGCACAGAACCTGCCCCTCCTCAGAGTTTTTTCCTCTCGTTTTTTACATCATGTGTGATTCTTTCTCTCTTCCTGCCATCCCTCAAACTTCACATCCCTGTCTTGTGTGCCGATGGGTTCTATTTCCAGTCTTCAGTTCCTCTCCAGAGGGAGGGGTCATGGGAAAGGCCTTGTTATCACTGCTGGGACTCTCATAGCTCCTTTCTCCCTGTTCTTAAGCTCACCAACCATTTTTTTTACCTCCCACTCCAACAAAACCTGACATTTTTTTACTTTTCTATTTGCGTAGCCTTTTCTGTTTTTCATCCAGTCTCGTGTCTCCTCATCTTATCTTGCAAACCTGCAGGCATTTGTTCATGTGATGATCATCAGGTCTTATGAGGTGGAAACACTAACATGAAAAGGCTTTAGAAATCAAACAAGAAGCCAGCAGTTTCTGTTAGACATGTCAAAAACATGCCGCTTCTCTGAGAAATGAAGGTCTGATTGTTCACCTTCAATCAAGTATGCATTGAGTTCAGTTAAAGCTTTACAGGGTTGGAAACATACGAGTATCTGTTGTAGTTCTGATGGGAATGACAAGTTTTAGTTGTTGCAAAGGCAGCTGTGGTTGACTTTAGAAACTTCACAAAGAACCCTGCTGTCTCCTGTTGTCTGTCAATCATTATCTAACAACTGTTTTCTCTTCTTCTTTGTTTCCTTCCTCCTTTTCTTGTGATGTTTTCTTTTTTACAGATTCCCAATTTCCAGTTAATATTTCGGCAGTGAAAAGGGACCATGACTTTTTGGACCGGGACCTCGTCGAACCTCTGTGTCGGTGAGGATGATATTTCTCTTTACATTCCTCCTCTGGTTATCCTTTCTGATGTGCTGGTTTTTCCTTGGGGTCTGCTACTTACTGCAACTCATTAGTTGCCTGACCCCTACCCTTAATGAAGTCCCCATCCACATCTCCCTCTGAGACTCCAAGGCTTTGATCTGGTCACCTCCCCTTCTCGCTGCCATGCTCTGATCTCCCATTCAAAGAGGAGAGAGACCCTGGGGGGGCAAAATGTAGTGAGGTGTGTGCGGGTGATGGTGACGGGGAACTGAGCGAAGGGATGCCAGAGCGCTTCTTTAAATGGATTTAAGCTATTTTCCACATCCTTCTGATCTTCCGTTGTCACATTACCCTGCTTCCTGATAAGTTCTTTTGCATATTTGCAAGATGTTAACATACTTTTTTACCGCTGCCTCACCATTTTTACAGATCTGCTTTATTTTTTTATTTATTACCCCTAGAATTTACACACCATAACCTAAATATGCTTTACTGGCATTTTATGCTCTTATCCAAATTAAATCCCTGAATTGTCTGCTGTGTTTTTTGGTCCTCAAGAGGCAGTTTGTTCACCAATGTCTCTAACAAACCACTGAGGCCCTACAAAACAGCTAAAATTATTGTCAGACAAAATTAGATACAGATGAACTACATTAAGTTTAATATCATACTTCTTAAAGCAGTCTTTTTATTCCTATATTAACTTTTTAAAAACTTCAAGTACTTTTTTCAGACTCAATTCAGATTGCATCAAGTTACAACCATAAATTAGATAAACTACATAAACTGTTTACTTATGCAAGTAAACAAAAAATGGTCAAATCTATTTTGGATATTTCTAAAATAATAAAATGTATAGTTACTAAATCAGAATTACTCAGTGTGTAACAGGAATCTTAAATCTTAGCAAACAGCAGATAGGATGAACCTCCGAAACCTTCAGTTTAGTATAAAAAGCAGCAGTAAGCATAGATGGTGGAGGTGTCATTAGACCTTTTTTAGTTTTCGTCAGACTCGGAAAGTCAGGGGAGTCAGAGCACTACCTTTGTGTTAAAGAAATAGTAAGATTCACTGCAGGGTCAGATCAGATTAAAGAGAAAACCGAAAAGGCTTGTCTGATGGTAATGGACCAGACTCTGTGGAAAAACAGGGAAGTTGAAGTAAAGGTATATTTATATAGTAAAAGTGAATCTTGCTACAGTAAAGGAGCAGGGTTCAATATACATAACATGAGACTGCTTTACTGACTTAGTGTATGTGTTTGTTGCAGACGATTAAATACTCTAAACAAGTGTGCATCCATGAAACTCGATGTCAGCCACCCCAAGAAGAAGGTAAGTCAA